TTTTTCCCTCTTATGTGTGTTACTGTGTGTTTATATTGAAGTGTTTAACTATTTTATAAATTCAACTAAAATAATTCTCATTCTTTTCAGGTCAGGTTTAGATCAGTAATTGATTACATAAATTTATGCCAAAAACTATTCTAAAGTGTGGTGCTGTATAAATTGCTGTCCCACGCTCCCTAGTTCCTAACCTCTTGAGTGATTTGCTCCAAAGCACCCTATAAACCTCCTAACTGGCTTGCATTGGAAGCAGTTATTGGTGTGCATCTTACTCATTGGTCTGTGTGCATTCTGACTTGGTGTCACCTTTAGTTCAGCTTCAGTTAGTCAGTTTTACACATATGCCTTGTTCTGTCATTTTCCTGTCACTTTTACTGTATGAGATCCCAATAGCTATTAGAACCAGTATTTGCGTTTCATTTTCCTTTTCAACCTTTAGTCATCATACTAGTTAAACTCAATCTTTGTTACCAATTTAGTCAACTAAAGTAGGCGACGAGTTCGTCTCACCCGCGTTGAGACACCGGTAACAGCATGGCATCACTTAAAAACACAATGTGTTTAAGTGATACAATGCCAAGTGATACAATGGGGTCGTGGAGAGTAAGGGATATACCATTCAAAGTTGCTTGCAGCAATCTTGCTAGAAATTACACAGCAATGGATCTTGAAAAATGGCTGGCATTGCTTTGGGCTAAAAATCCATATCTTGGCATTTAATGTCATTGCCAAGATGGTGGCATTCTAAATGCCTTCAATATGACCATGTCCCTATCGGGGCCCTATGTAGAATAGTGGCAAAGCAGAGAGTTTTTTTAGACTCTCCCTCTAGTTCATTTTTGAGTCCCATAAGTAGACCAGTTACCAGTAAAGTATCCTGGATACTACTAGAGTACTAGTACTACCAGTACCAGCCAGTTATCATACACAAGAAATTGGTTTAAATCTTGGGTAAATGAGGAAGTTAAAAATGAACTAATTCTAAAAAATCTCTGATTTATCACTATGCTATGTAGTTAAGTATGTAGTATGTAATCGAGAAGCACAGTGACTAATAATATATGTTTAAAAACTACTTTTTAAAGACAACACTTTCAAAGAATCCAGTATCTTCAATCTTACAGATGTACAATGAATTTCTCAACTAATTTTCGAAAATTAAAAAAATGACCTTTTCAATTTTTTAAATATACATATATTTTTTTTAATATATAATTTTTTTCTCAAAATTATTTATTCTGTTAATTGATTCGTGCATTGCCTCTGATTTCACACCAGTGTGCAAAATTTCAGCTCAATTAGACAGGTAAAAGTGTCAAATATCAGTTATAAGATTTGTAGGAGACAAAATTATTTCTTCAATTTTTTGAATATTGAAATTTTTTTTTTTTTAATTTCTAAA